GAACGAACGAACGAACGAACGAACGAACGAACGAAGGAAGAAAGGAACGAACGAACACATTCGTGCATGTGATTGGGAAGCACTGTATGTACAGTATACAAGCAATGGCTGATCATATACTCACTTCAAGGTCGTAGATTCCTTCACAAAAGTAACAAATGCAACACCCAAACTTTTCAGCGATCCCTTGGTATCTTCAAACTGTTTTTTAGCCTCTTCCTCCTCCTCAGTAAAATAATCAATTCCATCCACGTGCAGAGCACCACAGCACGTGCAGCAAGGACAGCATTTGCGCGTGCTGACAGTGGTAATGGGTCGTTCTCCTGTAATCTGGTAAGTCTCTTCGCAGTGCTCTAGTCCAAGGCGCGCAGCTTCTATTTTCCTTTGGATTTTGTCTAGTTTGCCACAGTCATATGCCAGTTGGACCTCTTCGATTTCTTCGTCACCGTAAACCTCACTTTTGGGATATAAATGCATAGTTTATAAAAATTAATGCACAAACGAGGGAAACCCTGAGATCCTGATTAGAACCTCGAAGTCTGCATAATGTTGTAAAAATGCAGTAAAGATAGACTACCAGCTTTTTGAATCAAAAACTTTACTTGTTTGATATTAAGTATTTCCTATGATCCTCAACGATTGCAGCTAATTCTAGGTTTTTGGTGACTAACCTATTTCAATAAACGTGGTCATCGCCAAAGGCGATAGGTCATTCCGATGTGGAAATGGTTTCGTTGAATACGAAGAACATTGAATAAGTCTCAACACTAAGGTCAATGTTCTTGACGAGAATAAGAAGCAGAAACACAAGTCATTCCAGCTATTCTTCGCCTATCGCCTATCCACTTTAGTGGCGGATCCAGGATTTTTCAAAGGGGGGTTCCGTTTCTTAAGCTGTGTGTGATTCTCTTGTTAAGTCGATGTTTGACAAAAAAATTGGCTCTAATCACCTAATTTACTATCTACATGTAGTAACGGAACTTAAAGGTAAATTAAACATTATAACAGCAAATATCTATCATTTCGTGTTCAACATTATCTTTGTGGATACTTTTAAGCAAAATTTATATAAGACATATTTCTATTACCTAAAAGATCAAACCTCCAAGGGGGGTTCCGTGGACCCCTTCGACCCCCCCTGGATCTGCCACTGCCCTTTGGCAACGTTTTTTGAAATAGGTATATTATATATAATATAATGAATGAAGAATAACGTGATATTCAACATGACTTACACAAAGTGCTTCTCAATCATCTCCTTGGTGACATTCTTGGGTATATTGGTTATCATCACACTATGGGTTGAATCATGCTTGCTCTCAAATTTAAACAACGACATAAAATGATGCAAAATGACCATTAAAATGATCATGTAAATGAATGAGAAGGTGCAATGCAACCAGAGAATGCCAGATTCATGGGATTGTACGTCCAGGTTGGACACAGTAGTGGCTCCAAAGCTGTTCCTGTATGGCTCTGAAAAAAGGTATTATTCATTATTATTATTAATTTTTTTTCCCTAATGGGATAAAGATTTTAATCATTAATTTTATTTTCGTAGTTTTCTTCAAACAAATAAAATATCTGAATTCAGAATTCTAATTTAATGCGTTTACCACTCCTGGATGGACGGCTTGATGCCTAACAGGCCTTGCGACCCAATTGATAAGGCAGCCGGTTAGCACGGGCACTGAAGGTGGTTGTCACCGGAGTCTTCAGTGGATCTTTTACGTCTGCCTTATACAGGGTTATATAGTGAAGACAGATGGGGCCTACGGTTTTAAGTCCTTGTCCGAGAAGACTTGAAGGTCTAACCATTTGCAGATGTAATTGCAAAGGCAGCACCTTTCCTCGTTTATTTTAAGAACCTGAGCGTTGGTCCAGCCGAGGCTTGAACCACAGACTGATGCTCTTACCAACTGAGCTAACCGGGTGGCGGTTGGCACATTGCAATAAATATATTTGCATAATTTTGGGTATATGCAGGTTGTGATACTATCCAGTCTTTTTGGTCCAAAAATCTTTTTTTTTAAGGTATACAATTAAATGGCCTCAATTAGTATTTCATTTTCAGTGTGACTACTACAAATAGGGCCACCTAGACACCAAGGACCAATCAAATCGTAGAATGAATAAATTTGAAAACAATGCAAAGTCAATGTCAAGCCAATCAGAAACCTAGCCTGAATGAGAATGCTAATTTGATCCTGATGTTACGTGTAAACGACTAGATAGCCATTGTCATTTTCTCCTCGGAATAAAAGGATATGCTGAAAGGTTATTATTATTTATTTTATCATTTATTATTTTTTGAAAGACTACATGTATTATTATTATTTTGCTAGTTTCTGATTGGCTCCACTACCTAGTAGTGGAATACCTAGTATGGTGTATAATTTACCTTTCCATCATTAGTATGTATAGTATTTATTTCTAGAATTTGATTAGTTCTTGCTGTCTAGGTGGCCTCAGTTATAGTAGTGGCACTGTCGTATTTTTTAAGGAGGATGAAAAGTGTTTTTTTTTCAGTGCTTGCACATAAATACACTCACAATAATGACCTGGAAAGGCATTACAGCTGTACATGGTCATAATAAATATATGACGGTAAGCAAAATGGGGAAGACAATGACCACAAACCTAAGTTCACAATGAATATCAAAACTTGACAGGTTTTTTCAGGCTGGACTGCAAGTGGTCTTGCTTTTCTCTCCCAACTCAGTAAGAGTGTGTTTTGGGATTCCTGTGGATCCCAAAACACTCGCCCTTATTGAGTTTGGAGGAAAAAGTGGGACTGCTCACAGTCCATTTTAAGGCCTCCATTTAAACTAGCCTAAGCAGAATTGGACTGCCCTGTCAAAATATTGCTTAGAAATAAATAATGAAATATGACATTAAGCGTTGCCATGACAACAACAACAACCTTCTTATGCCATCAAACTTTTTTATTTAAAAAAATCAAATTGGTAACCAATTGGTAAACTGGTAAAATTAATGTAAGCTTTAATTCGTAATCTTCCATTTGCCATTTTAGTGCCGATACAGCATGGGCATGTTACATCATGACCACCTTCTTGGTTGACGATAACAAAGCATTCCTCATTAGCTTTTCTCGTTAGATCAACCAAGGTAGCAGTTGTTTCATTGTCCTTCATATCTCAAAGGATTTTGACCCAACTTGGTTGCACACACTGTATATCTAGTACTTAATCTTACTCACCATTGGTTCCAGAGTAGTTTACAGGAAGAATGATTCCAATAGACAAGCAGAATATAATCACAGTATAGATGATAAGATGCTTCTGGAACTGAATGTACTGTAATGCATCCACCCCACACTTCATATGGATATGCTCGTCTTTGACCTTGAATAACACTGGTATCCATGACAACAGATCCTATATATAAGAAGAAAAACAGAAGAGCCACTTAATTAAATTATTTTATACAATTACATGTAAAAAGAACATGCTATAGTATTTTTTTTTACAAATTTTATTGGGTATCAATCAGGAAGGAAAATTACAGAACCAACATGCTACCCAAAGAGGAAAGTACGAACTGGACTCTAGGTCCCATGCTAGGCATTTCCTTTTGACTAACGATATAAATCAATAGAGAATGATCTTGGAAAATTAATACAGTTATAGTAGTCAAAATTGATAACTAGTGAACAGAGAATGGCCAAAAAATAATCAATGGAGTTCAAACAAACAAAAGTCCCTGAGGTTCAGTTATTATTGAGAATGATGACAAGGACACTTGCTTGGCTTCACACAATGGTATACCTTATTTTTAACTTCAGGAAACTTGATTGGTGTGTCTTGGTCTGGTTTTTCTTTGGAAGAACTATTAGTCTGCCCATAAAACAATGATGTCCATCTAAAAAATATAATTATGAAAATAGCTACTAAATTTAAAGAGTCTAATGTTAATGATATCTGTATAATCCAAACATAAATGTAGTGTTTTATGACCACAAAATTTTTCTATTTTGACAAAACAATTAATTGAGAATTGACTTCATAAAATAAGAAATTCAACTGGCATAAAGTTGATTGTGAGTCAGTTTTATAAATGTTTTATGATGATAAATTTTACATTGCGATAAGTTGGTCAACCAAAAAAGTGTCTCTAGACAAAAGAGAGACAATAATGTACATTTTGTAAAAACCAAAACATTTGAATCACATCGTTTTGTAAATGTTCCCAAAAATAGTCTGCTCAAAGCTAGCTGTTTGGGGCTAAAAGTGAAGAAATAATTAAAGTGGCTCTGGCTCAGATGACAACTTTAGATGGCGCTTCTGTATCTTATGTTACAATAAATACATTTCAATAAACTAACATAAATGAATGAAAAATGCACAATTCATCACTACCAACCAATAAAGGAGGGATGTAAAAGAACCCCTGAGAATATAATGAAACCCTGGCAGTGACCACCTTCAGTGCCTACAGTACACCTCATACTAACCATCTCTCATGTTTGTAATTGCATAAAAAGCAATCTGACATTCAAAATATAAAGTGCCTTGGATTATATTCATTCATAGCAAGGGTGCTTATATAAATCATTATCATTATCAATGTTATGTGCAATTATAGGCAAGGTGGTGTTACAGTATTTACTTTCTTACCCCTGATCCTCTTTCTGTGACACTGCTAGCCTTCCATAGTCCCAAACCAGTCGACGAATAACACAAAAAAGCACTATTATAATCTGTCAAAAAGAAATCTAAAGTTTAGACTGAGTCACTTTAAAACTGAGACATACATACTGTACATACAAGAGATTTCAAGTAATAAACAAAGTTGGAGATTGTAAAGGGCGTTTGTCTGCAGAAGGAATAAATTATTTAATAGCAAACCAAGCTCAAACGTTTTATGATTTAACTTGATTCGTGCAATAATGGCTGCATGCACCACTGAGTGAGTTTTCAAAATCCTGATTTATACCACAAAAACGATTTCACAAAAACACATATAACTAAAACTCCAGTACAACTACAGGGGCGGGTCCAGGAACTTTAGAAGGGGGGTGACTATTATAAAGCTTTTATACGGAAAAGGGGGGTGAAATTTGCATGCTGCATGCTGAAATTTGGTCTTTTGCTGCCGTCAATCAAAAATAATCAGTCTGTACTTTTTATTTTCTAGACTGGCGGCATTGAAATACCAATTTCACAACAAGCTGTTGGAATGTCTGCGTTTGCAGAATTAATACAATTACAAAACATGTATTAATGGTATTATGGAAATAATTGATATATGATTTGAATAAATATGCATTGAAAAACCAAAAACTAAAGGTAAAATAAATAAATAACCTAAAATAAATTTGACTTTTTTAAGAATTTTAACAAATTTTACTGACAGAACAATATTGGGGTAATTATAATGAGATATATAGCCAAACAATAGTCAAATGTGGAGAATGTTATCGATTATAAATCGAAAATTTGGACTGCTGTGTAGTGCTTTTTTTAATACAAAAAAATTCCAATGATATAATATATATATCTCGGATGAATTACATTTTTACATATAGCATCAGATAGAAAGTTCATAGAATTATTTTTATATTTGAGATTCAGAATATCTTTTTGCGTGTGGAATCTGATAAAGTAACTTATTTTTTAAGGAAAACTGTCGAGGATAGGACTTGAGTCCACCCTGTTTTCACCTGTTCATGTCTAGCGTTTTTCAAAAAAAAAAAAAAAAATGAAAAGAAAAATTCTTGTACACGCGAAATTTACCTGCTTATTTAGACTAAAATTCTGACAAATATTTACAACAATATATATATAAACTATGGCATCTATGAAAATTTTGAAAATGAGTACCAAGATTATTTTATTTACGAACTGGGAATTTTAAATTTGGAATTCATCATTGTTTTGGCGCTAATTTAGTATGATTTCATGTTCATGTTCAAGCGTTTCTTGAAAACTCTACTACAGAACTTTCAGTTTTTAAAGTGAGATCTGGATAGATCAATTTAGATACTGCTGAAACAGCTTATTTGTTTTTAAAATATAAAGTAAAATGCTCAAAAATAATCGCTCGCCAGACAAAATATTTGAATTCCTAGCGAGATACCTGGAGAAAAATTTGCATAACAGCTTTACTGTTAAAAACTCCTAGAAGTCTGGCAAGAAAATACATTTTTTAGAAAATGAAATACTATTAAAACGGCAAATATAGTTCAGCCTTTGTACAGTAACTAAGTTACGCTAAGTAAAAATAAAAGCTTGTTTTTTGGAGAATTTTTCAAGTGGAAAAAGGTTTGTAAACACAGTGATTTGGGAAGGCGCTTCTGCGATCAAGGCGGTGCAGGAAAGCCGTCAACTACAGTAGATCGAGTTTCGAAACGACTGAAATTATTTACAAGGTTTCAACGATACAATAGGTCTACAATAATGGAAAATATTATATTTACCGCCCATCCTAAGATGTTAAGGCCGAAGATTTGAGGCACTCCTCCATCGATGTCGTCGTAGTGAACGAAGGAGCTGTTTCTGTTCAAATCGTAGCAGTATTTTTGAGATACTATAGGATGGTTTGTTGTGTTTGCATCCTCATCGAAGACCAAATCAAGGCTTGTCATGCCTTAAAGAAGAGTTCTGTACCAAGAAGGTAGACTGGTGTAAGCCTTCTGGTGTAGCAATAACCTGTTTTTTCCCTAATCGCGAGAGTCCATTTGCACAAGCATTTTTTCCTTCGGCTTCACTCGCCTTGCTCACCCATAACACTACAAAATTAAGGGGGCACTGTACGACGTAGTTGCTATTGGCAACAGTATGGTGGGCGCTAAGTTATACGGATGCATTAATTATCTTTTTAATTTTTGCCGGCAATAACCTTAACCTTAGATCCCTTCACGCGTATCCGGTTATTTTTGAATTTCTGAACTTTTTCGTTGCAGATTTTAAAAAACGAAAGAAACACAAATGATTTTATTGAAATGCGCGTATGAATATGTGGCCTCGTGCGGACAGCGGAATCCGCAGACGTCAGTGTATTAAAAAATATTTGAATTTGACCCTCTGCAGCAGACCGTAACCGACTCTGTTCACGGCGTATTAAAGAATTTCAAGAAGTTATTCAAATAGTTGCTGATTCATCAACCGTATTCACTGGACGCGTGACGACGGGAGGCCAACCAGCGACGAAAAAGTACGGTGCCTCATTCGTCTTGGTGCAATGTGTGGCTATTACGTACGGGAATGACACGTGGTCCTGTTAAGTAACATTATGTAACATTACAGACCACGTGTCATTCCCGCCAGTAAGAATAATCCGAAACAGTTCTACAAAAACTTCTCCTTTACAGACACTATTTTCCCAATGACAGGCTACCTTTGACATTACAGAACTAAAACCTAGAATGTTTTCACTCACGTGACAAGGCAGCCATATTGCTTACTATCAATCACGTGACTTTTTGGAGTTGACTGGGGGGCAAACAAGCGGTTTACTGGGGGGCAACTAGCGGATGCTAAGTCAAAACACATCAAAATAAGTCCTCAAACTATTGTATTTGACTATTTTCACGACATCAAACCAGAAAGCAAGAGATCAAAACGACCTCCAGGATTCTACAAGTCATCAAAAAAGAGCTATTACCGGAAGTGACGTCTATTGATAGCAACCTATTGGTGTACCAGACAAAGGAACTTTATGATTGATTTTTGCATAAAAATATACACCAAGATGGTCGCTGTGACGTCACGTGTAAACGCTTCCGCTTTTAATGTTTCTCATTATTATTTAGTACTTGTGCAAACATTCATTTTGGACGAACTTTACACGGACTCTTGCCCTTTTGTTCTTTCCCTGTTTGTTCATATCTTCCCATAATTAGCTATAAAGCTAATGAATAAAGGAATAAAAATTAGTAAGAAGAATCGATGCATGAGCTGTATCAATATTCATGTGCCTTCTCGTGCGCAACTCGTGAAACAAAGAATTGATATTCTAGGGAATGACATATGGGTCGGAAATGGGAAAACAAATGAGGTCAATAAACCCCTTGCATGTGACGTCAAAGCAGCTCAATTTGGAGGAAAAAAGAAAATAATTTCAATCTCCTGAGAATTGGAAACCTATATTTATGTCCTCCAACTCGAGCTGCATTTCGACGGACTGCAAGGAGTCTATAATTTGGCGAGAAGCCTAAAAGAGACATAAAGAGTATTTTTAAAATTACGAAAGTTCCTCCGTTTTCGAGAATGACAGCTTTTGACACGACTGCAAAAAAGAGATTTACAGCAATTAAATTATCTAAATCTTCTTCGATTGTGTATTTTGTAGCAGCTCCAAAATAGGTATTTTAACGGGCATTAAATTTTACTACTGGTTGAAACATAGTTTCGTAACTTTCATTTTCGCCCAAGTGTCTTTCACGAATATCCAATTTTTGCGTGATTGAAAAAAATAGAAGAAAATAAAAGTTGTAATAAGATATTGCTAATAAGGAAAAGGAAAAAAATTAAAGAAAAGGGGGGGGGGGACACCAACAACAACTTGACCCGGAATTTTTTTTTTTTTTTTTTTTTTTTTTTTGCTAAATCACTATTTTTCCCCCCACTAAATCACTACAGTTCCGAAAAGAAAAAATATTTGAATCACAGCTGTCAGAATTCAGAATTCAGCTTCGTTTGACGATAAACAATTATTCGTCGAAGGCGAAGTGAATGATTTCAGTCTTCCACATTTTGACTGGTCATAGTTCCTACGGGTGCCAAGATAAGCCGTATTTGCATAATCACTTCTCTTCCAGCCTGCTGAGGCAATGCGAGTATCTTTTGCACTTAGGAGTATTTTAGTGTTCTCGCTGTACTCCCCTCGACCTGCGGTTGCTCCTTTTGTTTTGTTATTTTGTCGATCACCCTCCCCTCCCTTTCGCTGTGGTGGATTTTTGGAAAGCTCCGCCAGGTCTGCTTCCATAACTCTTTCGATATACAGTCAATTCAAAAAATGTTGTCGTCGACCAACTCAAGCCTACGYGACTGGACCGAAAGGACTTCTGGGTAGCAATCATTGAAGCCGAGTTGACTCCGTAATTTTATCTGACTAGTTATGCCTGGTTTACAGCACGAACCTTCGTGGGCGAGCGGGAAGTGTTGAAGGAGACAATGCCTTCATATTTTCGGAATTGTGAACTGAATCATAATTACTTTGTTTTTCTTTCCCTAAACCCAAAGACATGCATTTGATGGATTGTTTCTCTTCATTATTATCTTATTACTAGCGGAAACAATTAATTCAGAACGAATATTTAACCGCTTTAGTGATTTTTACCCATATTCCTTTCGGTCCAGTCGCGTAGGCTTGACCCAGTCGACGACAACGTTTTTTGAATTGACTGTATGAGCAAAGTGGGACGATTGATATAGTTGTTCCAAATAGTTTACCTTTCTAAATTATTATAAAGAAGCACGGTACGGTTGGTGAAGTGATAACGGCGCGCTTGCCTTCAACCACTGCGTTGTTGCCGCACGTCAGTACAGAACCTGCGCACAAAATGCTCTTGTACGCACGTGTGTTCGTAAAAAAATCCACCAGGTGTTCGCCTTGACCCAGCCTCCTTTCGGCTTAATGCTCGAACACAGGTAACCCAATGGCTGAAATTTCTCCCATCATCCTGGGAATGGAACAAGACGAAGTAATAAGTATAGTTTATATCACCCGTGCTAATAAAATATAATTTCTTGTTATTTTTAATATTTTTCAAAGCAAAAGTATCCCACTAAATGTATTTAATTCGATCCTTTAGGGACCTTGCCACAGTGTTTATGGCTCACGTAGCACTCTCGTTCACATCGGCCGAAAGGATCTATAGAGGTTTTGCACCATCACGTGTCGGCGCCCAGAATACCGGACAGCCTGTGGTTAGATTGCAGAACAATAAAATCCCTTTGCTCTCGGGAATTAAATTCTTTCTCATGTAAGACGATTGTATTGTTCCTGCCATCTAACATGGCTGCCGTCACGTTGTGGTGCAAAACCTTTATTGGATTGAAACGATAACACGAGCCAATAATACAATAGCCTCAATGTGAACGTGTGCTAAACCGTGTATATGTATTCAGAAATCACATTTCCCCCCACTGGACCACGAATCCAATAAGTTAGCACAACAATAACTGAATTCCCTACTGCTCATCATTTTAGTTTGACACTTTAAAAAAAATTTCGTCTCTCAAAAATAGGACTCCTCCTGCTGATGTTAGACTGCTTCCATAAGCCGGTCCCAGTTCGTTCTCTGTCTACGAATTTTTAAGACCACCAAGGACAAAGGAACGACAGCTACGATTTATAGAATCAGTCTACTGTTGATGTAAGCTGCACATGTTCTGTAAACGTTATACAGGCAAAGTCTTCAGTGTGACTAATTAGGACTGCTAACCCCTTGATGCCCTGGTGGGAACGAAATTAGGATGCGTGGGGTCTCATTAGCGCCCACCTCTCACCAATGAGAACCTGGATGTTTAGGAGCTGAGTTTCCGAGCTCCGGACCATCTTAGAATTGCCAATCATGTAATCTTTATAACAATATTTAGGCAGGTATAGGTCATTTAGTAGAGCTACAATAAATATAGCCCTGTTAAAACAACAAAAAACAGATGACAAAATGGTGGGAAAGAAAAGTAGAATAAATGAAATCCTATCCACACCCGCCCCTCACCAGGGAAATTCAAGTTCTTTAGGAAGGTTTTCAAATTCTACGACTTCCTTAGGATTGCCAATTAATTTCTAATCCCTTGGTGGGATTGAAAGAAAAACAGGATGAGTGCATGAGATCCCATTTAGACTTGCCTTTCATGATTGAGAACCGCGGGATATGGGAATATGTTTCCGATTTATCAGAACTCCGTGCTTATGAAGAAATCACGATCAACATCCTATGAACTGATTCCACTTGAAAACAGAGCCATGGGGTTCCAACGTCAATATTAATGGATGAAAGAGGCGGGATTAGATTTGAAAGTATTCTTCGATTGCACGTTGCGTCATCGCGGCCATGTTGGTGCCATTTATCAAAAGATTTCTCATTAGCATCCATTGTTAACGACACCACAACGGCCGCCATGCTTTTGTCTTTTGACTCTCTTGGGAATGCTTGCAACCATCAATATACAGTATACACGTAAGAGGCCGAGATATGAGAATTAATTTTACAGTCAAGACAACTGCTTTTTATCTTACAGACATGTTTCATGAGTTAGCATTTAAATATTCGAGGTAAACAAAAGGATATAAATTATCGAATCTTTAAATCGAATATTTAAGCTTAGAGAATTCAGTCCCTGTTATACGCTGAAGATGGGAGACGAACTCCCGAAACACATCCGTCAGAGCTAGTTGAGAATTGAGTCAGTGAGAGGCAGGATTAGAAATTTAGTTGATGTGAGCGAGATATGAGCTAAATGTCACCCTTTTCTGCATTGCCTGTGAGGTAGACGAAAAACTATAGTTAATATTAACTATGGAAAATTAACCATTCACCTCCTGGCCGGCCTACCTCCTTGAAAAAAAAAAMCTGCCAAATCTCTGTCATTAATTTGTCTATTGTATTGTACCTGCTCTGTTTTCCAATTAAGAAATTAGTACGTGGGCAATGAGGAAAAAAAAAATGTCTGCAATAATAATAACATTTTTTAAGGGCATTTTGACAAGTGGCTGAGAAACTCAAAAACAAGAAATTCTGACATTTTATTTTAGTTTTAAAAGCCGAATAGAAATTTTCATTGTTGAAAATGTGATACCTAAAATTGATTTATAATTGCTTTTTTGAATACAGTTACCTTTAGACGTTTTAACTTAAAAGTTTCTTAAGCATCAGCGGGCTGCTTTTTTTCGGGATCGATTACTTATAATTAGCAGCAGCTTGAACAAAAAAAAAAACAAAAAAAAAACGACAACTAAATACAAGTTATTTCCTTCCAAAGACTTTAAAAATACTTGATAAATAAACTAGTATGGGAAATATGCTATTTGTCTTCCGTTTTGTACGTCTGTGGTGACGTAGTTCGTGTAAATACCCGGACTTTTAGTTTAATGAAACACATGACTCACTAATTGTCGGCAGAACTTGTGCCAGGTGTATTGATCTCTCGTTGCGGAACTAACAGTGTGTTTTGCTTTTTAGTATATTATTTTAGTTCATGCACGCACGAAATTTCACGCGGGATAAAATATCATAAGTAGATGTAAAAACTTCGGTGTGTAGCTCAACATTTGAAGATACAGTTTTCAAGTTTCTTGGGCGCTGTTTTGCTGCAGGACTGATAAAACTGTAAGTACCGATGAATCTTGAAACGACACATAAACAGCATAAAATATGGAAATAACCTTCCTCTAGGCTCAATGCTTGATTTTACACTTAACTGAGAAAGTTCCTGAAGATATCAAGTAAAATCTGGAGCTTCCAAAAGACTTGCTCACATTAAGTGTCGTCCTTTGATCAGAAAATCCCTCGAAACTTCGATCAGTCTTTACATAAAGCTTCAATAGTGCATTGTTCAAACAAACATTGAGTAAACCTTTCAATGATCTTCAGTCTTTGTGGACAAAAAAATTCCGGCTTTCAGGTTACCGTTTAACATTATTGTTATCAATTTTTTAAAAGTTGAATAATCTGGACTGAGCTTCTCTAACTGAACGGCTGAAGGTCTGCCGCCTGACAAGATATATTTATCAAGTTGATTTAGTCCGTAGGTTGATAATTTTCTTCCGCAATTCAAGCTAAAAACCCATAACAAATTCAAAACAAAGCTCAGATTATAGTAATCCCCGAATATACAAAATTTCTTTTCAGACGAAAAACTCTAAAGAAAGACTAAAAGAAAGAACCAAGAAGCTGAAAGAAAAATGCCGAACAACAGTGGAAACTATTTTCAAGAGACTCAGGACGAAACGGCTCTTCCTCAAGTTTCAGTAGGCGTTCAAATCTTTCAAGTTGGTCTCTTGTTCTCGTTTATAACTCTAGGCCTCATTGGAAACATGGTTGTGTGCTTCGTAGTACAAAAGACGCAACAGTTAAAAACCATTCCAAATTTTTTGATCATCAACTTATCAGTTTCTGATCTTTTGCGAATTAGTTTAACACTTTCAGTTTCTTCGGGTGTTTTGATCAAAAGAGCATGGATCGCCGACAGTTTATTTTGTCGAATAAACGGATTTTATACCTTGGTGTTCCTATCGAGCTCACTACTATGTGTCACGCTCATAAGCATCAACAGATACTTCTTAGTGGTGAAGCCTAACTTTAGCAAGAAAGTGTTCAGTAAGAAGAACACGATATTGATGGTTGGTTGTCTGTGGAGTTTAGCTATCCTCACTGCTCTTCCTCCTATCCTAGGGCTTGGAAGATACGGGTTTAATCCCAGTAGGGCAACCTGTTTTATAGCCTTAGGAAGCAGTGATTCCTACACTAGCATCTTGGTAATATTCCTCATTGCTACACCGTTTTCTATAACGATATGGTGTTATATTAAGGTCTATCTAGCGGTTCACCACAGTCAAGCGAGAGTTAGCGGCAACAAAAGGCAACAGATCAGTGCAACAACGCAATCGGTCGTCAAAAGGGGGCCTGGACCAACAGAGGTGAGAATTCATTTTTACGGCACTTTTAATTAGGTCGAACGTCTAGGTTTGAACATCTAATTCTCATTCAAAATCTAGTTCTAATTCAAAACTGGCTGCTCGGAGCTATCGGTGCGGTTCGACTTATTAGAGAGTTTTAGATTTACGTTCACGGCAAACGTGAAACGTCAAAAAAAAAAAAAAAAAAAAATTTAAAATATCTCAAAAAGAATCGCAAAAAAGTCCAAGTAGTAGAAAAACAAAAGAATATTTGTCTTTGGTGGGAAGGTTTGCAAAAGGTAAAGTAAAATACAAGGAAACGATGAAAACGTGGTCACGTATGCCGTTTGGGGAGAGAAAAAAAAGGCAATCTAAAACTCTCTAATAGTAGCGGGTAGCGCCTTTAGATTTTTATTGTTTTCATCATTGCGAATGAATGAATAGTTTATCATCTTTTTGTTTTATCTATTTTTAAGATTCATTTTTTTTTTTTCAAGTTTAGAAACCTAATGTAAACATGATCGAAACGTATTCTGCTTTTTAATTGATTTGCTAAGCTAAGATGAACGTTGAGGACATCGAACATATAAATAGTAAATCTTTAGAACAATAGGACAGAAAACAACGGGAAAGAAACAGAACTTTTAATTCTTAATTTGCAAAGAGAGGGATTGAGAAAATCATTTATGGTTTCTTGGATATTCTTAATTATTTTTTATCAACAACGCACCCTTCTCAAGCCGAAGCCCATGGCGGGACTGAAAAGAACAGAAAAAGGGAAAAACAAAACTGAACAAGGAAGAGGAAGAACGAAAAAATGAAGTAAGATAATGAAAAAAAAAAATAAGAGTTAAAAAAAAAAAGCATCGCCAGCGAAGAGGAAAAAGCCCTTACAAATTGTGAAGAAATAAAGCTAGAATGAGAAAGGAAGAAAGAAAGAAAG